GTACCACGTTCGTTGCGTGTTTTTTACACGCATCAGCGTTGACCTATGACCTTTCATGGCTGCACGTTCTGTGCATGATGTGTTCGAGCACAAAGCGCTAGCGCGCAGCACGTTTAAATTTACCGTTTGACTTCCATAAACCATGGTAGAAACATTGTATGCACTTACGTTCGATTAACGTACAGTACATGTTTGTGTAGTTTTGGGGCATGGTTTGGGCAAGACTCCGGAATAAAACTTTCATTTTTGCGCGTGACAATGGACTCGTTGACCTGTGACTGAAGAAGGAGTTTTGTCGACGGGTATCGTTGTGGATTGTTGAAAAATCAACTAGTGTACAAGAATCTATTCACGGTGTTGTGCTGCTACCGCGCTAGCGTTCATGATGTTCCGCCATCCTTGCTCTCTGTAGCAAGCATTAGCAAGTTGCAGGCCACGTCATTGACAAGGAATGTAAGTTTCAGTTAACGCACCTCCATGCTTAGGCCTTAACTGTTTTGTCAGTTTGTATTCAAATATCATGATTTTCATTAAAGACACACTCATTTAATGATCACGGTTTCAAGTAGGAGGGTAACCATTGCCAGTATTTCAATTCAGCTCAGATTCGTTCATTTGATGGCTGTAAATACAACAAACCAACAGAGTGCAGAGCAAAATTTCCATAAAATCTGCATCGGCTACAACCTTGTCACATTTAGATGATGCTTGCTAGCCAGGCTAAACTTCACTTGTAATTATACTGCGTGTATATATAGGCCCAGTTTACATTTAGCCTTTTGTCACAAAACTTAATAAGCACAATAAAATATGCATTGGATTATGATGAACTAAGACATTGTGAGTAATTTATTCAGCATGATTCTGTGAAAGAGTTCCATACACAGACGGCACTTCACACCCTGTGGACAAACCGGAGTGGTCTGGAAAACTGGTCAAGTGTTTTCTGAGTAAACGACTTCTTTTTCCCCTCCTAAATTGAAGTTTTCTGGACATGTATTTGCTTTCTGATGGCTAGGTCACTATAGGGAATAACTACCGGCGTCCGTATCTGGACTCTTCCCTGATGCTGTAAATGTACATCCATTTACATACTTGCATACAGTGAAGAATTTATTTAATACGCACAAATTAAAGCCACTTGTGAGTTGTGATGTTGACTTATTTGTAATGTTAAACTTGAATTTACATGATCAAGTTTCTTGTTCTTAAGTTCACATGGGCGTATCTTACAGTCTAAGATCTTTTCGCTTTTCCAGTTTTTTGCATGGCAGGAAGGCTGTGTTTTCAATATTGATTTTTTTGTGGAGGTGTTAATGTAGTGTGTGTTGATTCAGTTATAAATTTGCATACATTTTCTGAGACATTTGGTACATATATCTGCACATTTGTTAAATAAGAAAATCTGATTTTCAAGCATTCCTTCTTACCAATACATCGTACATTAGTTATCGCACAGTCACGAGTGGATCACGGAATAATGTAGTGCGTCTGTTTCCCGACACAAACGCACTACATTATTCCTTGTTCCATAAGCACAGTAAAGATGGAATAGCGGCCTTTTACGTGCTTTACATCAAAAAGAAGACAAAAGATAAATACAGCGGACGGAAAAAAGAGTAACTCCGATCTACCATATTTTTTCAATTTTATCTAGAGAGCATGGGAATTATTTGTGTTTCGACTTATTTCATAAACAATAACAGAGGGTTTTATACTACAGGTAAAAAAGGAAATTGTTAGAATTGTGTGTGCATTTACACACGTGGCGATCAGTACGAGCAAACACGCAACTTTTGAATGTAAAGTCACGCAGCTGTGAATTTGCTTTTAGTGTAAAAATAGCGTGATGCGTTGAGTTAAAACAGCGCATTACTGCGGTTTGATATGAACCACGCAATTTGGTTAAATATATGTAATATAATTCTTGTCATGCATCCACCAATAAAAACTGAGAAATTAAGTTTGCCTGAAGATAATACTTTTTATTCATGCATTCTCCTTGCCTTGAAACTTCAGAGCTCCATTTCTTGGAAAATTGTTTTAGATACACATGCAAAGTGAATTAACAATTACACTTAACCGAAAAGGGATGTCAAGTAATTTTCATTGATTAGAGAACAGTATAAAATTGCAGAAATACTGGGACTCAGAAAAGTCCATTGCTGCAAGTCTTTAGATTCGGTCGAAAAGGTGATCACAAATATATAGATGTAGTGATCAAATTACAAGTGGCACAAATTCATTTCGGATGATTGTGTTTATGTGGGAATATCTGGTTTGTTAAAAACAAATAAGATGGCATAAAAAGTCACCAAGCCAGGAGGGTCTCATTTAATAAAAGTGCCCTCACTTGAAATTAAAAGAATTTGATTGCAATGTTTCTGGGAAACACCAATTGTTCTTTTGGTTCTAACCTTAAAACGGTACTTTCATTTGTTGGGTGCTGTTAGTTTAGTCTTTTAAAAGCTACATTAGGCCACCTTTTCTTTATGTAATTGGATGATTTTTGTGCCCCCCATTTTTTTGAAATGCTAACTCCCCCAGAGTTAGGCCATGCAGTTTCTCAGAAATGTGTGGGTTGCTTGGCAGCGCGTGTTGGCAGGTTGGTAGCACAACTTGCAACCAACCGCGAGCGTCCTTGAGGAGGAGCAGATAAATTCAGTGGCCAGTGACCCTCCACTCCACTTAGCTACCGGACTCAACAGAGACTGTTCTGTTGTCTCTGTGATTTCTCCTTGCATTGAACCTGCCACAATTACATATTCGTCCCTGTCCTGCTCTAGGCAAAGACGCCACTAGTAATGAGGCACTGGGGTAACATCAGTGAGCCTATTGAGCTGCATGTACTGCTGGACAGTGAGTGACTTGGAGCGGAGTCGCGTGCATTGTGTTCCCCACACCTGATTTACTCAAGCC